TGTTGCAGATAGATCGCTGAACTCCAATATTGGTGTGTCAGCGCTTACGCGGGCTACTTAGTAACTAAGTGCGGGGTTTTCTTGTTAACTTGTACTAAGTAATAACAGAATGGAAGACAAAGCGTTGCCATTGTTCAAAAAAATACTTTCAAATGCCAATTCACAAACCCACTCCTCCCCCTCTCCCTCCCACAAAACATACACATGCACATACATACATGCGTATATATATGAAGAGGCATGTGCTTTCTAAGCATTTGTGCATGCATGTGTTGTATGCATATATGTATCTTTTGTTTATGCAAACGCAAGCAGCAGCAGAAGCAGCGACGGCACCGCCCCAGTCGTCACAAGGAATTTATTGTTGAGGCATTTTCTCTCAGTTTGGTTTTTTTTTTTTTTGTTTCTCCCATTTCCCGCCGCCGCAGCTGCTGTGTTTGCTTTCAAGTGGCTCGCGCAGCCACAAAAATGTTTGAGTGTGAGAAAACGGCAACGTTTAAATTAGCTGATTCTGATTTGGATTTGGATTTGGATTGCGTTTGCGTTTGCGCTGCATTTCACGTCAACATCTCACGTACAAAGCCATAAAAAAATCTATGCGCATGTGTGTGTGTGTTTCTGTCATTTCGATTGCTCAATCAGTTTGGTATTTGTTTTCTTAACGTTTTTTATGCTGAAGTTTTGCATTTTAAAATTCTTTTAGTTTTTAAAACTTCCCTTGTCAGCTTGTCAATTCTTCTCGTGATAAATTTTACCTTATTGTAGGAATGTTAACATATGTGGTTCGCTTGTTGGTCAGATTCATTATGAATCGTCTCTCTTTATTTAAAATGGACTTAGCCTAAAGTACATACTAGAGTTTGGAGTTCTGTTGCTCAAAGCATCGGCAGAACGGGAGTACATAGCATGCCATATGTATTTGTATATATGTATGTTGTTATATGTAAAATATCAAGTTGCCGTCTTGCGCTATTAAGGGAAGCACAGTCGGCCGCTGTAAACGATATCTTCTTACGATGATCACTTTGGGAGTTTCACTTCACTCTCGTATCGCTGGCCTTGTGGCTCAGTGATTGTATCAATAATAAGAAAGTATTTTATAACGGCAAAGCCGGAGCAATGTATGTTTATTGTCAAACGTTATATACAGAACTGAATTGTGGTATAAAATTGAATTGGAATTATGCCTAAAACTTGGATCTATAAACTACAAAGATACAGTCGGCAAGCCGACTCTCAGCATAAGCGACAACGCGGATACTTGCCGCATAGTCAGGTGTCAGGTTACCGAACTCATGTGTCAGCGGAATGTGCTTGGTTGTAAATGGGTCAATATAAATATTGTGCAAGTTTCTTATACAGCGTTATTTTGGTGCAATTCTTAAGTGTTAACTTATACATGTTTGGATGCTGCTATTTTATTTGCAACATAAATTCCATTATGTATTTCTTGATTAGGAACAAATATATAATCATTTACTGTATTAATGTATATTTTTCGAATTACTTGGGATCTGGCTGGCAAAACTATATGTTATCGGAACATGAATTGGATAATTTAAATTTTGAGGTCTAATTATAAACCAGTCCTCACTTGGTTTGAAATCTAATTGACACTTGAATTTTTTAATAAAATCAATGCCTATTATTCCATCACACGGTATTGAAAAATCGGAATGTACTTCGTGTGGAATAATATATTTTGTTGATTGAAGTTGTTCCTTGAGATTTTATTAGGCCTATGCCTTGGATGTTTTTAATTTTTTCTTCTTGAATTTTGAAATTGTCTGAATTTATTTTTAAAAGTGAGATATCTGCACCAGTATCTATTAGGAATGTGAGTTCCGTTGAATGATTATAAAAAGTGACAAATATATTAAGACTGTAATTGATGGAATGAACCTTTACCTTTACTGGTTCTGAGAGTTTTCCGGCGTATTTTGCGCCATTGTCACATTGTTACTATTATAACCTTGGTTGGTGTTACCTCGGCCTCTTCCTCCACGGTTATTGTAATTGTTGTTACCGCCTCGGTTATAATTGTTGTGGTTGTATTTTCTGCCACGATTATGACCTCGGCCTCCTCTATTATTATTGTTTGCACCCTCGTCGACAATACAGGACAGTGTTACTTTGACCTGTTATCACCGTGCAGCTATTAACAAATTTGGAGACTGCATCATTCATATTTATGAATGTGCCTGCCTGCATGATAAGTTTTACCTTATCAATTGAACAATTTTGAGATTTTCCGGCTTACCGTCAAACTCTGGTATCAGAGATGTGGCTAGCTTGATAAATTCTACAACTCTTTGTGCCATGTTTACTAATTTTGTATCTTCTTTTTGGTCGTTTGTCAGTAGTGACTTATCAAATGTTACCGGTGTATTTAACACCGCTGGTAGATAAAGCTGGAGATCATACTTTTTATTTGAGTTTACCAGATTATCCCTTAGACGTTGTAAAACGTCTGAAGTTTGGACTCTGTGTAAACTTGTCAGTTTATTTTGACACTCGGTAACATGGTGGGTCTTAGAATTGGTACGCTTTTATTAAGGCACTTGTATGATTTATCGAAATTTTCCCTATGCCGCTTTATCTTTTCTACTATTTGGGACCAGTCCATGTAAGCTTCCGCTACTTAAATATTTTATTTAAGCAGTGGCTTAGACCTTGTCTAAGTCGTTGGCTCGATTCATATAACGCTTCCTCAGTGATTTTTTATGAAGAAGATTAAGCTTCAGAAGGATGTTTACTGAGGCTATTACAATGAGTATTATTAGCAGTATGTTTGTTTACTACGACTTCTACTACGTTAACTACATTGGCAGTGTTATCATCTGCCTTTGATTGTTCTCCCCCCATATTCCTATACAAATACTCTTGCTCACAATCTGGTGGGCATCTGCGTGGGCGTGCTGGTATCTGTCTTGGCGGTGGACGATGATTCTTTGTTAGTTGTTTTATATTTATATCTGAGGGACAGGGCTTGCTCTTTGATTTTAATAACGACTCGAGATGTTCGAGTTCGTCATTTAGTTTCACTGCAGTGTCCCATGGGAGTGGATTTTTGCATTTATAAAGGAGTCTTACGATTTCAGACTTTCTCCGTCTGATTCGCTCCTTAATGCCACTGCGTCTTGGCTTATTTTTTGCCTTAGAGCTCATGCCCTGTACTCACTCAGTTAATTTTTTTTTTTTGTCCAGCTCCAAGCAGGTTGTAGTTATTATTTGCTGTGTGTGTGTGTGTCTACTTTATGGTGGGCATGGCCACGGCCGCCTGAGTGTGGGTGACATCGGTTTCACGCCAGAGCCGGGTAATGGTCTTGGTCTGTGTGAAGAATTAGGCTGTTGCTGCTGCCGCTGCTGCACCTCCGGTTTCCAATTTTATATTTTATGGATATACGTATATAAATTAATATTTAAATAAAAGGTCTTCGCGGATTTTCGTTAAAGGACTTTATTTTGGTTATTCATAAAACACTAGGCCGATACGCCGTAGTGAGTGAGTTAATTTAAGCGCGAAGTCCCTGGGCCGATGTGCCTCAGTGAAAGTCGAATTCAAAAACTAATTTCTTAATACACAGAATATTTCACTTAAGCTAAGCCAAAACTCGCATCACGCCACAATGTCATGGTCGGCAAGCCGACTCAGCAAAATCTCAGGCAATATCGGAAACACTTGCAGCAAAACAAAAGTGTCCGGTTACCCCCCGCGATAGCGAGGGTTGATTATAAACTTATGAAATATCCTATATTAAGTGTTATGTGTTAACTTGTATAGCGGTCCCTCGCAGTCACTCGGGCATGTCCTCCTTAGCGTTGGTATTTCCTTGGCTTGGGATGGTTTACTTTTGATTAGTATTTAACTAATATTTTGGGATTGCAGTGTAGGTGGTTGTGCGCATAGGCTCTTGTGGCAGGCTCTTTTGCTTTTCTATTAGCAACGATTTAATGTGTTCAAGCTCTGCGTGTAGTTTCACAGTTGTGCTCCACGGTAAGGTATCGTTGCTATTTAGAAGTTTGAGCAGTTTTGCCTTTCGGATTCGCAGGCTTTTTACTACACCGCCTCTTCTGCCACACATACCACTCTACTTGCTGCGTTCAATTTTGAATTTTAAAATTTATTCTTCTTGGTGTTGTCCAGCGCAACAACTGTTGCAGACTCAGTTCTGTCACGGTCGCCATGTAATAATTACTCAAAAAGCTCAAGTCAATCAGCACAAACGTGCTTCTGCAGTTCAATTAAATTCACAATTATTACAGTTTTATTCAATATATTCTTATGGCTAAGACCGCATCACTTCGCTTCATATTTTGTCTTATCAGGATAATCGGTAGAGAGAGAGAGAGAGAGTCTTATGGCTGTCCAGGCTGTCCTTTCTGTGACGTCCTGTCACAATATAATTGAAGTCAATAGATTTGATTTGGACTTCTTGTACTTAGTTGGAGCAGCGAAAGTGCCGCCTCAGCTAGCTTCTCATCAGTTTCTGATTTTACAAATATATCTTAGGAACAGCTAAGGAAGGCTAAGCGGAAAGACGGTTATGTATTCTCAGGTATATAGCTTTGCTCGCTTAGGCTCGGTCGCGAGCCGACCAAAAGTATACAGATCGGCTCCGATTTGGGCCTCTTGGTTTAACTACTGGGACTCAGAATTTATATTTGTGTTTGTTTATATGCAACAATGCATGAAGTACATCATATATTGATGTTGCCTTATATTGAATGTTAGAAGAAACACATACGCTTGTGTTGTTTGGCTAGTTTCATGAGAGTGTGCTCTTATTGTCTACCAAAATGTTCTTAGCCTCTATATAACATATATAAACTTATGCTGTTATCAGTTAACAGCTCCATATCTAATCCATTATCCATTTTGTTTTACTTTCATCAATTTCCTTAAATTTGTTCAACGTCGATTGTTTTTAAATACCTAGCTAACCCCTAGTTGCGCACTACGCTCTCTTTTAACATAAAAGTTTGGATATTTCTTTTAGACTCCTTTACGGCTATAACGTCTATCGACTGTTGAATCCGATTGCAACGCGTGGATTCGGTTTGTTCGTGTGATGCGTGGAAACTGTGGAGACTGTGTAAATGCTTTGGATTCTCTTCTAGCGAAAGGCTGAGGCTGATGCTGTAACTGTAAACACTGCGATATTTTATTGTTTAGTCTGCTCGTGTGTATGTGTGTGTGTGTGTGTGTGTGTGTGAGTGTGTGAGAGTGTGTGTGCTTCTTTTTAGGGGCGATCAAAAAGCGCTCGTTTAATTAAACAAACATTGAAAACGGTTAATAGTTCGCTTTGATATGCACACACACACACACTGAAACACAAGAATAACAAACAGGCACGCTCACACACAGACACACATATTATCAAAAGTTCAACGTAATGAAAACTGATCAAGGTTAAATGGCTCAAAGCAACAACAAATATAAATAGAAGCAATAACCGAAAGCATAGACACAAAACAGACAGAGAAGATGCCAAAAAAGAAGAAAGCGCGTTTAATTAACCGGACGTACACACATACACACACACACACACACACACACACACACACACGCAAACGCAATGTACAGTTAGTTAGTTAGTAAAACGATGCTGCCAGACCTGGTCGCCAATTGGCAAGCTGCTTAACTCAACGAAAGCACACACACACATGCACTTGTATGCAGCGTTGCCACACTGGCGTGCTGATCTGAGCAGCTCTTAGCGACTTGCGAATGCACTTCCCTCCCACACAACACAATGTATTTTCATTACAATTTACAAAAACGCAGAAACTAAAAACAAGTACAATTATCTGTTTGATTTTTTTTTTTTTTAATATATTAATTTATTTATTTTAATTTTTTTTTTATATAATTATAGTGCGTTTAACGCATGCCGTAAACAAAAAGAAGAGAAAAAAATGCGTTTCGAAAACCAACAAAAAAAAGAAATCATGGCAAAATTGTCTGAGAAAATGAATGTTTAATAAAACATCAATTATAGATGTTTAAGCACATTGTATTATGATAGCTCTTATGTAAGTATAGTACTTCCAAAGTGTTCAGGCCAAAAGTAATTTTCCCCTCTAATCAAATCCCGTTTGTTATGTAGCATATGTCCTAAATTTGCATATAATGAAAGCAAATTGTTTAACTAGATTTAAGTGTAAATGTAATTTATTATTACTATTTTATTTCTTGTTTTGTATAATTTTTAAAGCAACTACAACGAATATGAAATTTCAACTGACTGAGGCAAAGGCAGCGAATACATTTTACATACATATATGTTTTATTTTTTTTTGTAATATTTTTTATAGAGTATTTAATTATAAGTAGCAGGCATACTATTTTTGATAATACTACATACAAGAACAGTCAACGTATAATTGTATATAACTATATTATATATATATATAAATATTGTAATTGAACAATTGAAATTGATATATGACATTTCATAGCTATAGACTTTTACCACAGCTCTAATATACACTTGAATCGAACAAACATATATGATATATATCATATGGATCTAACTGATCAACGAATATTGCCCAAGTCTAATATTTAAGTGCATTGTTTGTACATATATATATATATAATTTTTTTGACTCTTTAAGGGAACATTTTACCCAAGTATTCATAAAACAAAACTCGAACAATTGAAATTTAAAAAGTCTGCAGTTCCTTTGGCAAACTTGTTTAGTCCAAGCGAAAAATTGAGGAAAATTAAAAACATATAATGGGAAGTAAATTGCGATTTACATATACATATGCGCATTCTTCTTTCTTTCTTTCTTTTTTTTTTCGAATATCTTTTATGATTATTTATGAAGCGTACCCAATCATTTTTCAAGGCGTGTACGCTTTTTTTTTATTCCAAATTTATTGCGCACAACATTTTTATAGATAAACAGGCGGAAAAATTGTCGGAAAAGGGGCAATTAAACGAAATCGAAAACTGAAAACTGAAAACTGAAAACTCAGCAAACAATTTTTGTGCAGCTAGCATATACATTTCTATAGATATATAAATTAAATAGCCGCATGTATGTATGCGTAGTATCTAGTATTTTATATTTGTGCTTTTAAAAGTGATGACTAACTAACTAGCACAGGCAACTATATCATGTATTTATACCTTATTTATATGCTTATCATTACAAAAACCATCTCCAACAAATAAATGCCTATATATATAAACAAAATAAATAAAAATAATAATTACCGCTAAGCAAAAGGTTTTCTGTATTTAGCCCAATTTCTCGTTATTATTTTATTTATTTTTTTTTTTTGATGCCTTGAGCTGGAATTTGTCATCTTTTGTATGGAAATGAGCTCTGCAGGTGTGGCAATTATTGTGACGTAATTAAATTTGATGGCATGGCAAAGTGCGGCGAGTGCAAAAACCGGTTAAAAAGCGCTTCAAATGCTTCAACAACGGACATCATTTATATAAATAAAAATCATTGCACCACATGCACAAACCGAATTCGTTTGCACAAACTCCGAATACCCTCGCCCGGCCAATTGATTAACTTAACAGCTTTAACTTCTTCTCTGGCTAGCTTACGATCTAATAGTTCTTTGGTTTAGGGGTCAAGTTCCTTGAGTTCCTTTCCAGTAAGAATTTGCAATCTTATTGAGGTTAAGTCGAGGTGAGTAAATCCCATCAAACAGTTTTACATTATATATATTAAGCATGCGTTTTTTTCATTTACAGAACGAAGGAACTAGGGAAATATCATCAAGGTGAGTCTTACATGAAATATACATGAATAACTCTTTATATCGGTATATATTTAAATATTCGCTAATAGATAAGTTCTTTAGGACTTTCAAGCTTGCTTCCAAACGTTATACAAATCAGAGCTACCCGCTAAAAGTAGGGTATAGCTAGTAGCACAATCAGAGTTAAGTGTACTGTGGGAACAGCGAGCTCTGTATAAAGTAACCCGATAATATATAGCTGTTACTATAAGGCTTAAACCTACGAAATCACCTCGTTCCAAACGTATGACATAAGTAAATGCCTATTAAAAGATTACGAGTTGCGGCTATGCGAACAGAATCTGTGCAAAGTCTTACAAACTCTCGATTCATTTTATATGTATATATATATATATATATATATATACCATGCAATTAAGAACTCTGTACTTTGTAATTCTTACGGGTTGGACTTAAAAGACTGTCGCCTTGATACCGTAATCAAATTATAAAGATAACTGTAGAACACAAGTTGGGTATATCTATATAAAAAAAAAACCGTCTGGAAAAAATACATATACCTTGATATAGCTATATGGAAACCATCGGATGGAACATGAAAACATAATATATGTACACATATATATATATATATATTCATAAAAATCTTAAGGCTTCAAAAATGCCGTAATACAAAAGAAAGCAGGATTATAAAAGGATCCATATATGTACATACATATATCTAAATGGGAACAGTCTTTCAATTGGTCTGTGTTGTTTGTCGTGTATTTGTGTATTATATACGTATATACATTTAAAAAATTAATAATTATTAAATGTAACGAAATGTATAGCAAAAGCATGCACATAAACATAAATGCATTCATATCCATACATATATAAAGTATATAGATAAAAAAAAAAAGAAACAAACAATTACACATCAATAACAGGCAATGCATCTACATAGATCAGATCGTAAGATATATACATATATGAAATATAAAAAAAATAAGGCAAATTAAGGTAAAACAAGGCAACTAAAGTATATAAATGTCCAGGGCCTCCGCTAGCTAGTCGACATGGTATTCGGTGCGATGCGGCGAGCCGCTGCGCTTCTCGGCCACAAAAGGATCGGAAATGCCCGAGATGCTGGTGACACCGCGCAGGCCAGTGCTGCGGAAATAGATGAGCAAATATTGTTCGCCATGGCGCAGCTCGACATCGTCGGCAAAATCGAGACGCACCAGCTCCTCGTTGGCCTCCTGCTGACGACGCAATCGCTGCCGATTGCGATGATGATGATGTCGACTGTGACGATGTGGCGCCGGTGCAGGCGTCTCAAAGTAATCGCGCTCCTGGTTTGAGTCGGATGAGTTGGGCGATTCGGCCTGATTCACATACTCATAGGCCACATAGTACGCCAGACTGGCATAGTCAATGCCATAGATGGCAATCCAATCGTTGGGTCCTTCCTCAAACTCCGGCTGTTTGCGATACTCCACGGTATTCTCATCGCCAATGCGCCAAGTGGACAGCGGGCTAAAGCTGACGCCCGGCGCACGATAATTGGGATAAAGCTTGATCGTAAAATCGCTGGTAACCGGCTTGTGGTCGCTAATGTTGTAGGCGGGATGCGATTTATAGGAGCACTGCTCAATGGATAGCGGCATGCCGGGCTGGCGATTGAGCGGCTGCACTGCGTACATGATGCGATCCGTCCAGGCAGGTCGCCGCTTCATGTCGTATTCGGAGGTGCCCTCCTTGAACTTAAACGTCGGCGGAAAGGCGGGCAAGCGCTCGTGCAGCACCTGAAATGCCTGCTGCGTCTGCTCACGCACCTGGTACAGCTGATCGCGCTGCAGCAGCTCCTTGTGCTTCTGCTCATCGCTCAGTGCGTCGCGCACCTCCGTTGCGCTGTCGCTACCCTCCAGCCGAAAGTTGAGATCACCAAACCAGAATACATAGTCATGATCGTAGATCTCGCGATAGCGCTTCACATGGTAATGATGATTCTCGATTATTTGCTTGTAATCCTCGATGCGCTCGTCCAGCTGATGATCGTGGGCGGCCAAATGGGAGACAACAAACGCCAGCCCGCAGCCGTATAGCGTGAAACGCACACTGACCGCACCCTTGTTGCCCCAAATGCCACCGAAACCGGTGCGCGTGAATTCCGCCTCCATGTCCTTAAGATGCTCCACATGCGGTCGACGGACAAACATCGTCAGCAACAGGCCCTGCATTTGCTCGGTTTTGACGGCCACATAGTTGTACTTGCGCAAATGGTGCTTGGCCTTGTGCGTCCATGGATCCTCCTTGAACAGGCCCAGCACCTGATGCTGCGGCTGTGCGTTCACCTCCTGCAGTCCAATTGCATAGATATCGGGCAGTTCGCCAGCCGCATCCCCACTGTCATCTTCGGGCAAGCCCAGCAGCTGACGCAGTGTGATGTTGTCCGGAAACCGACTGCCCACATTCCAGGTGACCACATAGACCCGATACGTTTCCAGTTGTTGGCGCACATTCGATTCGGCTTTGGGTGCGGCCGTTGCGCCAGCTTCCGTCTTACTCATACTATCACATACACACACACACACACACACGTATAGAATACTATTAGCTTTTGATTCATGCGATTTTGGCCATATTGTTACTTACATTAACGAGTGCGTGTTGTTGTTGTTGTTGTTGTTGCTACTGCTATTGCCAACTATTTTGTGTCGCAAGTTGCTATCGCTGCGTTGCCTTTATTGTTGCAATTTCGTTTCGATTGCTGTTAGCTGTTTTGCAGAGCTATGAAGTAATCAGCGTAACGAGGCTTAGCGCATAGTAAATAAAGCACCAGCAATAGCAGAGCCCGTTTTTCAAAAAAAAAAAAGCAAGGCCAATTAAGTCATAAAACCAGCTGTTTGCTGTGCATCTATCGTTATCGTTACTACGATAGTATCGATAGGGCGCCGATATGCTGCGCGCCAGTGTTGCCAAATTAGCTTTTTAAAATCTGATTTGAAAGCTATCTGCGAATTTTATTTTGAAAAGAAATGTACTTCAATCGCAGCGTCTTCTTATTAAGTATAAAACTCGGCAGACTCTACAAAAGATATGTTGGCAGTCCTGCTTGATTTAATACTGCCTTGCATTCATCATATGGTATATTTTTGGGTATTCAATTCCAGTTATTGTAGCTATTTTTATAGCTTTTAACAGCTTTTAATAATTGTCGACATTTTGCAGCACTAGTGCGCTGCCAGACTTTGTACAGCGATATGCAACACTGTGCTTAGTTTTGGGTTTGTTTTTGTTTTTGTGACACACATACTTTTTGTTTTATTGATGCACAATTGATAAGCGCTCATAAAAGAAAAAAAATACATACTTATACATACGCTATATCAGTTACAAACATACAAATCAATTCTGCAATGTACAGACGATCGGGGCTGGCGTTGAATTGAATAAAAGCCGCCGATACACGGCGTCTACGGCCACGGAATAAAAGGCGAGCGCACAACATAACTAAAACTAATTTTGGTTCAGATTTTTGTTATTTTTATTTTTTTTTTTTCTTATTTGTTTTTCTTCTTCACACTTTGACGTCGTTGGCAACCGTTGCTGCCGCCGCTGCCGCTGCTGCTGCCGCTGCCGATGCTGTTGTTGTCAGTGTTATGTAAAAATAAATGAGAGCCAAATGTGCGCACAGCATCCTTGAAAGCTGAGACGTTTAGCAAACCAGCTTCTGCAGTGCTTAACAAGTCACGCGATCTTTGCGCTTTAAATTGTTGACTTTAGCAACGCCGGCAGCGGCAGCAGCAGCAGCAGAGGCAGCAGCTACAGTCGCGGCAGCGCAGCCCATACATTGATTGGCTTGCCACCAAAAAACTCGCGCCATTGTTTGTGTGTGTGTGTGTGTGCTTGGACTCGTATCATGCTGTTAAATAATAAAATTGAATTTGTTAATAAATAAATCCAATTGCAGTTAAATCATGCCTGCGCCCCAGGTAATCGCAGCCGCTGCCGCGGCCATAACCACGGCAAGTGTGCCCAGCTCCGATGCCAGCGCCAACGCAGCGACCAATGCAACAGCGGCCAACAGCAGCAGCAGCAGCAGCAGCAGCAGCGGCAGCAGTAGCAGCGCTGTGAATAGCGGACGCCATCAGCTGCGACCAGTTAAATATGATTATGCGGATTCATTTGCCTGCACCTATATCGTTTCGGTTGTGGCCGCCTCCATAGCCGAGCTGGTCACATATCCGCTGGATCTCACAAAGACCCGTTTGCAAATCCAAGGCGAGGCGGCCAGTGTGGCCACAATTGCCAGCAGCAGCATCAGCAGCAGCAGCGCCAAGGCAAATGTGAGTAGTCTGGGTATTTTGTTTGGATTTTTATTTTGGCATTATTTGGTATTTTGGTGTAAACCGTTTGTTGTTGTTGTTGTTGTTGTTGTTATTGTGCTTGGTCTCATGCATGCTAGCTTTGATCCCGGCTTTGCTAATAACGATACCCTCGCAGGCGGCTACCGATAAGCGACCGATACCAAAACCCAGCCTATAACTGGCCACACACACACACCACTTGACCAGATCCGTGCGTCTGCTTAACAGTGTTGACAAACGATACAAACATTGTTGTTGTAGCTTTCTGCAGCCTTGGGCTTAATCTGTCTAAATGTCGATACTCCTATCAAGTTAACAAATATTTCCTTTGGCAAGGGTATTTGGGCGCTTCGGTATGCCGAAGTTAACTTAAGCTTTTCGGGCACTATTTTGGTCAGTCTTATGCATTATCAGCTTGCTGATAAGCTCTAGCTGCTGCTGCTGTTATTTATTTATTTATTTTTATTCTTGTTCTTGTTCTTGGGGTGTGTCCATCTGAGCACTAGAGATAAATGTAGACATGGAGATTGAGATCAGGTGACTGTGTTTCATGCTGTTGTAGTAGCCAAACGCCAATCCACTTACCTATCCCACACACCCACCCCACTACCCTCCCCCTACCACCACACAAATATGCATAATTCCATTTCTCTGTGCGTGTGTTAAATGTGCTCTATATGCATGGTGCACACATTATGTATGTATGTACATGTGTATAGATAGGTATATATACGTTCTATAATGAGCTGCATATTATGTAACTGAAAAACCCCCCATTACCAGATGCAATATCGCGGCATGGTCGCCACCGCCTTTGGCATTGTACGCGAGGAGGGCGCCATCAAATTGTGGCAGGGCGTGACGCCGGCGCTCTACAGACACGTCGTCTATAGGTGGGCAATCCAATCAACAACCTAACAAGTACAATACATATACGTTAATGCTGGCACATGATCTGTGCCTCCTTAAGTAGAAGCCTAGTGTAGAGCAATACTGGACTGCGATTTCCAATCCAAAATTGCCCATTTGCCAGCCAGCCAGCCGAACTAATCTCGTATCCTCCTTGACAGCGGCGTGCGCATCTGTAGCTATGATCTGATGCGCAAGGAGTTCACCAAGAACGGCAGCCAGGCGCTGCCCGTATGGAAATCGGCGCTATGCGGTGTTACCGCCGGTGCCGTTGCCCAATGGCTGGCCTCGCCCGCGGATCTGGTTAAGGTGCAAATACAAATGGAGGGACGGCGCCGTCTGATGGGCGAGGCGCCGCGTGTGCACAGTGCGGGGCATGCATTCCGCATGATTGTGCAGCGCGGCGGCATCAAGGGCCTCTGGAAGGGCAGCATACCGAATGTACAGCGTGCGGCGCTGGTCAATTTGGGTGATCTAACCACATATGATACCATCAAGCATCTGATTATGCGTCGCCTGCAAATGCCCGATTGCCACACGGTGCATGTTCTGGCCTCCATATGCGCTGGATTCGTGGCGGCCATCATGGGCACACCGGCGGATGTGGTCAAGACGCGCATCATGAATCAGCCCACCGACGAGCTGGGCCGGTAAGCATGTTGTCTCTCGTCCTTCTCACAGCCCTAATCTATATACTCTTTCAATACCATTTCCAGAGGTTTGCTCTATCGCGGCTCCTTGGATTGTTTGCGCCAGACTGTGGCCAAGGAGGGTTTCGTTGCGCTCTACAAGGGTTTTCTGCCCTGTTGGATACGCATGGCGCCCTGGTCGCTCACCTTTTGGCTATCGTTTGAACAAATACGCAAAATGATTGGCGCCTCCAGTTACTGAGTCCTTTGGTCCTTAGAGTCACACCCTGAGAGTTTGGGAATGAATGAGAATCAAAAAGAAAATGCAATCGATATTTCAAAATCAACAAAACTATGTTAATTCTACATTATTTTGTGTTTGTTGCTTTGTGCGGCAAGGTAAACAAGTGCTATTATAATGGTACAAATACTCTCAAGACTGTTTTTATCTATGCTTAAATCTGATTCTTATGGAACATCTAAAACTTTCACTTGATTATCCTTCGTCCCATTCACAATTAATAGAGTCTGGCTGCACAGAAGATTTATAATAATCGAAACCTATATAAAAATCGAAAAAATCAAAATAGAACTGCTAATCATGTTGAAAATAATAATCAATAGTCTGTAAGAAACCAATATGAAACTCTAGACGAATATATATTTCCTGGTTTTAAGCAAATTTTTTTTTGAAAAAGGTATTGCTATTTTTTTGTGAGAATCATATATATATATATATGAACTGATATTTTTCAATGCTTAAATCGTATATACTTAGCGTTTACTAAAGTGTACTAAGCTCGTATATTACATTTTATTATTGCCTTGTTATAAACAGGCTTTTTAAGGAATAAACTTTCTAAAAGTGTAAAATATACATTGTTATATAAACCAAAATGTACGGGATTCCTCATAATTAAATGAAAATTATTCGACATAAGCTGAATTTGTATTTAATGTGTGTTTAAAGTAAATCTTCGTATACGGAATTATTTAATTGCCTTAAATCGAGCAACGAAGTTTAAGTTTAAATAACGATTATTTTTTGAAAATTGCCGATACCGCCAAATACAACACATCAACTTGCGTAGGTGCTCAGTCACCGTGGTATTTCTGTGTCACACAAAGCTGGTCACACTTAAAATTTATATTATCGATATCGAGTGTTTTGCGAAAATCATCGATACCACCAAATACAACTCGTCAATTTGCGTAGGCGGTGAGTCGCCGTGGTATTTTTGTGTCACACGAAGCTGGTCACACTGCCCAACACAACCAGCATTTCATGCAGTGTATATAAGAGGTGCAAAGGCGATAGACAAACTTAATTGTGCACTCCAAAATGTTATTTAAATCAATTATACCACTCGCCATCTGTGCGCTAAGCATAAAACCATTTCTGGCAGCCGCAGCGACCGACGATGACCCAAAGCCAGCCGACGAAAAGCAATTTGCCGTCGAGCTCAATCCGGAAACATTCGACGAAGCCATCAAAGCCGGCAATGTCTTTGTGAAGTTTTTTGCGCCATGGTAAGCAAAATTGCTGAAAGGCGTTGATGTGTACCATAATTGGGAAATTTGGCTATTTGAATGCGGCTAAGCAAACGTTTAAACAATGAGTTAAAGTTTTAGTTGACTAAACACACACATACGCACACGCAGAAACACACGCACACGCATGCAGACAAAGCCACGCAATCTTTAAAAACATCTGTTCATACGTACGTATGTTTATGCATGTGTGCAGACATTCTATGTGTTACGACTTGTGTGCAAACACATTAAAAATTGTTAACACACATTGCATTGTTGTTGACACAGCCATAAGAAGCTGAAGTAGAGATGAGTGCGTGTCGCATTGTTTAAACAGTTACTTGCACCACAATCAGAGTGGCCAACTTTCAAATGTTAAAAAACAGCTGAATTAGCTTTCTCAGCACGAATTGGCCATAAATATTGCCAAAAAAAAAAAAAGAAAAAAATGCCAAGTCAGTTGAAAATTTCTAAAAACTAAAAACAAATTAGCTAACAAACGGCTGACTTAGCAACACGGCCTACAATTCAAAAACGCGCTCTGTTCACAATTGTGACACAAGCCATATTAAATATACTAAATCCCGCATTAGCCAAATCCAAAAATACTGCACAAGCATAAAATGCACAACACACAACTATTATAAATATGTATAAAATTTAATTTCATTGAAAATAATTTACATAAATCATTGATTTGAGGTGAAGTCGTCTGGCTAAGTCGTGTCACGCGCCCAGCTCCAACAGACAACAGGCAACAGTCAACAGCTCGTATTCTACAATATTTCGGAGCCAGCAACTCTTTTGGTGTCATTGACGCTGCCGAAATAGAAGAATTATTGTTTTTTTTTTTTTTTTTTGTATTTTTCGCTTTAAATATTCTTAACACGTAGCTTGATAAGGGCGGTCAAAGGGGCTTTATATATTTAGTTTTCTGTTTTGTTGAGAAAAGTCGAAGAAGTGCCCCATTGATTGACATCTACCAAGCGCACACACACGCACGTACGACTCGTAATTATAGAGAAGTATAAGTCATAATTGTGGACTCATATTTAGTTAGGCGCGCTGGCCGGTTATCAGCTTTTACATATAGCAACCATATATCATGCACTCTTTCTAGTCAATAACGCGAGCAACCCGGCCTGCCTCGCCCATGCCCCTAATCCTCAGACAATGCCCATGATACTCGAAATCATTTATTGTTTTTTTTTTATTTTGTTTGAAGAGCTCGCATATACGCAGCCCAGAATTCTTATCAACAGCTCGGCCAGCTCTCGAAACAAACGCTCGTTGACATTGACGAAACTAATTTTATGCTGGACTTGAATGCAAGAGAAATCAATCGTTATATATATAATATATATCTGTTCGTGATCGCTTTAATCATTTGCAGGTGCGGCCATTGCAAGCGCCTGCATCCATTGTGGGAGCAGCTGGCCGAAATAATGAACATAGATGAGCCGAAGGTGACCATTGCCAAGGTGGACTGCACCAAGCATCAGACGCTCTGCGCCGATCACCAGGTGACTGGCTATCCCACGCTGCGACTCTTCAAGCTGGGCGAAAAGGAGTCGATCAAGTTTAAGGGTACACGCGACTTGCCAGCCATTACGGATTTCATCAATCAGGAGCTGAACACGCCCGCCGAGGAGGATTTGAGTGAGCAGCAGCAGCATCTGGATGGCAGCGAAACGAATCCCAATGTTGGCAAGGTCGTTGATCTCACCGAGGAGACGTTCGCCAAGCACGTGTCCAGTGGCAATCACTTTGTCAAATTCTTTGCGCCCTGGTGCAGCCATTGTCAGGTAAATAAATTCTTAAAGCTATCTTCTGTTCAAACACAAACTACATGCTTGAATCAACTGTAGCGTCTGGCACCTACGTGGGAGGAGCTGGCCAAGGAGCTGATCAAGGAGCCGGAGGCAACGATATCTAAAATCGATTGCACACAATATCGCAGCATATGCCAGGACTTTGAGGTCAAGGGCTATCCCACATTGCTCTGGATTGAGGATGGCAAAAAGATTGAGAAATATGCGGGTGCACGCGACTTGTCCACATTGAAGACCTATGTGGTAAAGATGATTGGTGCCCCAAGCGGCACTCACGATCTAGAGGATGCGGCCAAAGAAGCACCGGCGGAGGCTAAAAAGCAAAATGTGCTGCAGCTGAACGGCAACGAGGAATTCGAGAAGGCAACCGGCGATGGCATTGCCTTTGTCAAATTCTATGCACCCTGGTGTGGACATTGCCAGAAGCTGCAGCCCACCTGGGAGCAGCTGGCCACAGAGACGCAGGCCGCCGACCTGGGCATTGTGTTTGCCAAGGTTGACTGCACATCGCCGGAGAACAAACAGATCTGCATAGACCAGCAGGTCGAAGGCTATCCAACGCTCTTCATCTACAAGAACGGCCAGCGCCAGAAGGAGTACGACGGCAGTCGCTCACTGCCAGAGCTGCAGGCGTACGTCAGGAAATTCATCGGTCACGATGAGCTCTAAGCTGATGAACTGATGAACCGAATCACACACCAATACGAATGTCATCGCCAAAGTAAACTAATTTCTGCAGCCTCTATGAGGGCATTGGTTGATAGGACCGAATAGTCATCCATTTAGACAAACAAACAAAAAAAAACAACAAATTTAATAATAGTCGAAACAAAACAAACAAATTTACACTGAAAATGTGAATCAGTTTTGTGATTGTTCCTTGTGTTGTCCATTAGCGGCTTTTTCTTTTCTTTGCATTCAGTTCAGTTTTGTTCACATGTGCCAATTATCTAGGAATATATTTTTCTTGAAATTTTGCTATTAAATCTTGAATGAAGTTTATATCGAAACTTTTAGAAAAAGCGAAAGTATATATAAATATATTAGTACTGATATCTGGCATATTTGATCTCAACTTAAGACTTTCACATTGGTTTTCGTTTTTGTTTTTTTAAAAATATATTTTGATCAATTATCTTAAAGAAACCAATAAACGCATGGAAGTGGTATTTGTTTTAATGCTTGTTGAAATGGATTAGACAAGGCAGGAAGATGCAACGTATGACGGAAAATACCAAAAATACAATATAATTATAAATTTCCAAGTCAGCTAATAAACGGCACATAACTATTTTCTACGTATGGCAAAAAAAAAAGAAGTTTACGGCTGTGTATATTTATAATATTGTTATTTTGAAAATATTTGAAAATTTGCGGTCTTTTATAAAATACTGTTTAATGTGTTTTTTTATTTTTTGTGATATGCGAAATGTGCTACGCGTTTTGGGTTTTACGGGCAACACGGCATACGGTCACACAGTCACAAAAACGCAATTTGTTGTTTTTCGTTCGGTAGAAATTGATGTTAACCTATTGGGCATGTCCTCAACGAGCCTTGTACGAGTAATGCTGTAGGCATCATCAAATCAATTGATTTGGAGTAGGAGCGTCTGCCAGTTGTTACACAGAGCTACAGAAACGCACACCGACACAACGTTTTTTATGAACGCAAACATCAACGGAGGAGCTGGCGGAGGTGGTGGTGCCGCTGGTGGTGGTGCTGGTGCTGTTGGTGCTGGTGCTGGTGGTGGTGGTGGTGGTGGTGTTGGGGGTGGTGCTGCTGCAGCTGGTGCTGGCGCTGGCGCTAGTCCTGCGGCAGCTGGCGGTGGTGCATCAGGTGAACCCGGAGCTGGAGGCAATGCAAGCGCTTCAACAGCCACAAATGGCACCGAGGGTAGCACAAATCTCAATGAGGATCAGGATGCCAAGCGACGCAAGTGTTTGGAAACAGACGAAGCACAGGATGGCGCTAGCACCGTGAGTATGCATTTACACAGAATCCAATTGAACAGTGCACCTGACAAAGAGGCCCATTAATCTCTAATACTCATCTCTCTGTGTGTGTGTGTGTGTGTGTGTGTGTGTGTTTGTGTTTGTGCAGATGATTGATGCGAACAGCGTGCTGAACAAGATTGCCCATCTGTATGCAGAGCAGCTGATGTCGGACATTGTGCTGCTGGTGGATGGCAAGGAGTATCCGGCACACCGTGTCATCCTTTGCGCCAGCAGCGATGTCTTTCAAGTGATGCTCATGAATCCGGAGTGGAACGAGTGCAGCAAGCATGTGATTGAGCTGCACGAGGAGGCCTGCTGCTCGGCGGTATTTCCACAATTTATCAAGTACTTGTATGTGGGCCATATCGAGGTGACGCTACAGACGGTAATGCCCATGCTGGCGCTATCCGACAAGTACAATGTTCGGGATCTCATCGAGCTGTGCGTTGGCTATATGATGAAGCATGTGGCCAAGTCGGCGACCAGTGGCTATTTGGTCTCCTGGCTGCAATATACACTATCGTTTACGCCCACGCA